ACTCCATCTTTCAGACCAGTTGAGCGCCAGAAGTAAGAAAACGCTCTCAATGCCTTGCGTGCCACGAAGATCTCTGCCGGTGTCCTCCTTTTCTTGGCGCACTGAAGGGAGGTCACTCACAGAGAAGATGGGCGATTGTATTTGCGCAGCTACAGTTGTCACATGCCGGGCTGGTGGCCATTCCGATTTGAAACGAATAATAACAATATGCCATGATGCATTATGCAGGCATAAAATTTCATATGAATCATTCATAAACTTTCCATATCGGTCTACGTTATTATTATTATTATTATTATTATTATTATTATTATTATTATTATTATTATTATTATTATTATTATTATTATTATTATTATTATTATTATGCGGTGTTGTGTTGTAGTTCTGCAACATAAAACCTACACAAACAGAAAAAAAAAGCAGTTCAGCGAATGTCTTCTAAAACAGAAACCATGCCCATCTGCATGAATTGAGGAGAAAATTAGGGAAGACAAAAGCAAAAACAAATAAATAAAAGGAAAATGAAGGGACGACGCACTGTGAAACATCACATCATACTCGGAGCATGAGCGACAGAAACGTGATCGAGGCTGCTACATGCAGTAGCTTGCTACTTAGCCGATATCAGACCATTAAGCATCAGGAACTTTTTTAGTATTGTTCGAGATTTCTGGAATTTGCACAGCACATAGTGGCAATGGCATTCTTTTAGTAAATGTTTAAGCATTTCACTGCAACATACTCACAAACCAGGCATACGGAGGGATCACACCCTTGTCGATACTGATGCGTAACTTGAGCATTTTGGTCCAGCAATTTGTTGTGCGGCACGGTCTCTTGATGACACGTTCATCCGAGTGTAAGCTTTGTAGGAATATAGTGACTTTATAAGGGATCGAGCACAATCTAATTGCATGAAAAATCTTCACTGAAATAGAAGCTGTGCCCTGACGCTGCCACAGCATACGGCTCTTCGTTTTGGTGATAACACTGTGTGACGGCATCCATCGAAGCATCGCTATTCTTCTCTGTAATATAAATCAATGGGCATTTTAGGTACTTTGCGTATACAAGAGCTGATATGACACAAGCATTGGACAACGAGCTCGCAGCTCAGGGGTAGTCTACCAAATAACAACAATAGATAATTGCTGATATTGTAAAATTTGCTGCAGCGCCAATATAGTATTTAATCAACAGATATCAATGATGCCGTACATGTAATCTATGTGAATAGAACACTGTGCCATGGGCTCTGCGAAAAAAAAAAAAAGACTACCGCACTTGTACTACCTTTGCGCACATAGTGACTTATGAAGTTCGTATACGAGTCTTCTAGAATGGAGGCTGTTGTTTGGCGCAGACGTGCAGAGCATACCGTTAACTGTTTTATTTTAAGCAGTTGAGGATAGATGTTTTCGCGCATGTTAAAGAGAAACGATGATTTTTTGAAGCAGCTGACCCAGCGCTTTTGGAGACATTACAAATAAGTATTTTCAAAATCTTGAGCAGGAACGAGTGCTTTTCTCCTTTAGGAAGTTTTTACATCGTTATATCCCGGCTGCGGCGGCTGCATTTCCGATGGAGGCGGAAATGTTGTAGGCCCATGTGCTCAGATTTGGGTGCACGTTAAAGAACCTCAGGTGGTCGAAATTTCCGGAGCCCTTCACTACGGCGTCTCTCATAATCATACGCTGGTTTTGGGACGTTAAACTCCACATATCAATCAACATCGTTATATAGGAAAACAAGATAAACGTGAGCTGTTCGGAACAGGTGTTACTCCCATTATCCGTAGCGCGCCCATGCCCGTATGCATGAAACACACACTGGTATCAATTTTCGGGAGTGTATATATTGCCACTATCCATTCACGCATCACGAGCGCGTACCACGCACTCAATCAAGTGTAGTCAAGTTCATTGGCTCCGTCAACACGAGTACTAAGTCTTCTGCACTGCAATACTTTATTATGACGGTGAAAATGAATACTTTTAAAGTAAACAAGACACTGTGCAACTACGCGCTAATACCATCATAAAGGTATACCAACACGCACAACTGGTAATCATTCTAACACTTTAGTAATCTTAATGCATGGTTATGGTGCTCAACTACTGACTCGAGAGCCTCGGGTCCCATCATAGTCACAATATAGGAGCTATTCGATGGAGGCGAATTACGCTGGACGAGTATACTGTCCAATGTTAGTGCTCGTTTAAAGACCCTGCAGGTTTACCCGGAGCTCTTCACGACAGTGTCTCTTGTAGCCTGTGTAGCTTTGGGACAGTAAACCTCACAACCCAACTAATTTACGACTCTCTATTTAGATATGCCTTGTACAACGGGCCATGTCCATTGGAGACTTACAAAGAGGGTTCAGCTTAAATTGAGGACGACGCAGCGAGCAATGGAAAGAAAAATGGTAGGTGTAACCTTAAGAGACAAGAAGAGAGCAGAGTGGATTAGGGAACAAACGGGGGTTAAGGATATCATAGCTGAAATCAAGAAGAAGAAATGGACATGGGCAGGGCATGTAGCGCGTAGACAGGATAACCGCTGGTCATTAAGGGTAACTGACTGGATTCCCAGAGAAGGGAAGCGGGTTAGGGGGAGACAGAAGGTTAGGTGGGCGGATGAGATTAAGAAATTTGCGGGTATAAATTGGAAGCAGCAAGCACAGGACCGGGTTAACTGGCGGAACATGGGAGAGGCCTTTGTCCTGCAGTGGACGTAGTCAGGCTGATGATGATGATGATGATGTACAACGGGCACAACTATTGCCACGAATATTTTACTTTGTTCAGGTAGTGAAAGCAAGACCTTTCGTGGGGCACAGTTGGAACAAAGCAAACTCTGTTGCGCAGTCGAAAGCTCGTCCTTGCCGCACACCTTCTCAAGCACTTCCCTGCAGCCCATGGATCCGCCACGCATTTCTCGAGCACCTGCGGTTCACATGCGACTTGGCGTTATGTGGTGCTCGGTAAGAGCCGGAGAAAGGCCGCCGAGGATCTATTTTTATGACCTAGAGGACATTGAGTCTTTCATATGAAAGCGTATGCAGTGCGGGAAATGGTTCTGTGAATGCTTATGAAGAGCCTGCACCTGTGGAAATTGAATAGGCTGCTTTGTCCTGCACAAACATCCGCAAATATATAAAACTGACTCTAACACAGCCATGGAATCGAAAAGATTAAGGCACACGAGAGACTGAGCCAGCCATCCCAAAATTGTCATTATACAAAGGCATTAACAGCCAGCCGCTTTGGCATGTACTTGCTCGCGTTTGATTTTATGAAGATACCTTACGAACAAAAGCTTTGCGAGTAGGACCTCAGAACAAATATGAGCATTATAAAGGACGCAAGTTCGTTCTCTGATATGGTTGCAGGTTGTTTCACGCGATTATAGCATCTACTGATAAGATAGCATGGACAATATCGAGTTAGCAGTGAGCCGTAGAGTGTTAGCTAAAGATCGGCAAATACGATTGAGCATACGTGCAGGGTTGTCAGCTTACTGCTACAATCGTCACAGGAAGTGCACTGGTCGTTTTGGTACAGCAAAGGAAGTTGCTAATAAAACTTGAACCCACATGTTGCAAAAAAAAAGTGTTCGCTGTTGATCTGTGTATGTGAAACACAAAATTTTTGTCAAAGATACGATTGGCTATGTTTAAAAAACTATCGGGAGAATAAAGAGCAAAGATACTTATTTCGGTACATACTTATTTCGGTAAAGTTTAAATAAGAAGGCTGGAGAGTAGGATCTGCGTAATACTGACCTGTCGGCTGCAAATTAGACGTCTGTTGCACATCATCATCATCATCATCATCATCATCATCATCATCATGACAAAGGCCTCTCCAAAATAAAATAAGCATATAGGCATGTTTTATTATTACATGGACGTCTTCATTTGTGCCATAAAGCAGAGGTGAAATGCATTTTTCCCCAACTCGCACCTGAGTTGCGCCGAACAGATCTCTGCCGGGCGATCACGGTCTGTGATAAGAACAATCACACGGAATTTGAAGCGCATAGTCTTTGAGGCTTATCAATATGCGAGCTCGGGATGCGTACAGAGATGGCATAATACAAGCATTATCTTAAGTCGATTCTGTTTCTTTTTACCGTTCACCACTCGCCGTCGGCCGACTCCTGTGATAAAAGGAGTGGAGCGCCAGCCAGACTATACTCGCGAAGATCGAAAACGAAGACTATTAAAATAGAATCAATCAGTTATATATACGGTGCAATAGGCACTATGAGAAACTAATGTCTCGGCCGTTTAATCAGTTCAGTTGTTCGTTCACCAAATCTTTCTGTAGGTGGGACTCCACAGTCATTATGCTATCCCTTTAAATGGTTAAGGGCGTATAATTTTCAGCTGTATGAACGTTTCACAAATTGTTGAATTAAGACATATATTACATATAAAATTCATAACGACAGAATCACTTTGAGTAAGTACGTGATGTAGAGTTCCCATGATCTAGTGGCGCACACTAATACTCCCAGCTTTCAATGCACATATACACTCCTCAAAGTGCAATATGAGGTGACTGCCACTGTAGCCCAGTAGAGCTTCGAGCGCGTTACTGTGCGAACGTCACCGGTTCGGTCTCGGCCAGCGGCAAGTTATCTTTTCGTCCACTTTTTCCCCCATCTAGAATAAAATTACTACTGATAACATCCCCTATACTTTTCTTGGCATCATTTTCTGTTAGTTCACACTAATATTATCTCCAACAACAAAAAAACGAGTCCTTACACACCTACTTTCTTGTTTCGTGTTCTATATTTGCCACAAGACCAGAAATAGAACCATATTCTTGCTTAAATATGGGTATGCAACTTCGGAGAAAAAAGGGCCTGAATCTATCAATCCCACCAAATTTTCGACACTCAAGCAGCAAGGCCTCGACGTCACTTCAAGTCGTCGAGGCCTTATCACTTATCTCGTGCTCAGCATCGTATGCAAAGTGGACACAATGGAGGAGAAAGTAATTTGTTTATTTGCATGCTTGTCTTATGATTCCCTCTGGCACTTGTTGAGTTTTGAAACATTTTTCTACTTTGATAGTTTTCTTTTTATGAAAGCCGCACCTGGCCGATACTTCTTTCAGCTTAGAGTTCTTCAAATTCTTAATCAAGTTTTTTTTTACTAATGTGTTTCGTCATTATGAAGGCAGGTAAACTGACTAATGCAAACGAATCGAACGACGCAGGTGTTTGTACTGTATAGCTGTAGCTACTAACTCTCTACCAGGCTTCTCAGTACAAAGATGTCCATTCTGCCGTGGACTACTCACTGATGCGGGAAGGGTACGGTCCGGCAAGCGGTAGCAATGCTGGGAAGGTAAAACGCGGAGAGGGGTACCCGAAGGAGGCCAGTGAGTTCTTCCTCGTAGCCGTTCTGAATTACACTGTCCAGGTGCGCGTTCTTGGGTAAGTCGAAAAAGAGACGAGGTTTAGGTATGCTGAGCAACGTCGTGTTGACCGTTGTCGGCTTACTAAGCGTGTGCGTTACTTCGATGTGCACATGAATGGCGGCAAAGCTGGCCCGGGTTCCAATGCCTCGGTACGTGCTTATTTTGGCGCTGCTTTTATAGGTCAGGTCAGAAGTGGCGCTCACGGCAACGTCTTCGATGACTGCGTTGCATCTAATGCTGGTCTGAAAGGGTCTCGATGATCTCGGCCTGACACAGTCTCCTTGACGCCGGATATGTCTCAGACCGGTGATGTTGACGGCGTACATTTCTGCGCTTAGCTTTTCAGGCGCGCCCAGTTTGGTATGGTAAGGCGTCACCAGAAAAGGGTCCAGTTGGTACTGTCGTATCATAGGGAACATTTCGTTTCCGAGCACTTGGTCCATGTAGCGGTTGAGATCACTGATGGTGGCTGCAGAGGCCCCTGAAAGAAGAGTAGATGGGCACATCTCATGCCAATGCAACAAGGATCAGAAGGTACAATTGCACACCACATTGTACGACAGAGCACGGATTATGACATGCGGCAAAAAGAACAGATGGAAAGCTAACTGCATTTATTATTATTCGTAACATCTTTGGCAACAAAAAAAATGAAGTGCGCAAAGCCCGTGCACGAGCCATCCTGAAGAGAGTCAGGAATGACATTGACTCCCTCATGTTTGTCGACGCAGCGCAGTACGGTAACAGTAGAATGTTAGCGTTGTTGGTTATAGACGGGAGGGGGGTGCTTCGCTCCTCCGCCTCGGTAAAGGCGGCCACTCCAGGTACAGCAGAGCAAATCGCGGTTGCGCTGGCATTGTCCGACCCAGAGCGTTTCTACATTTACACCGACTCAAGAGACGCAATTATAGCTTAACAATAGGGCAACCTCGCTCGAGAGGCGGCCTCCATTCTAGAAAAGAGGGCTTGTCCAGGTTATCATGTTATCACTGGGTTCCCCGCACACATGGGGAAGAACGCTCTTGAAGTCTTCCCAAAGCTCAACAAGCTGGCCCATGATCGTGCACGAGAACTTACGCGCCGCGACGGTCTGAAGGTTATGGAGGGGCAGGAAGGGACTCAGCGCAGAACGATGTCCTACTGACATTCAATGAAATAACCACGCATTACCAACTTGGCAGAAAAATCTACCCTCTTCCTCGCGCGAAACTCCGCAGAGGGCAGTCAGCTACCTTGGTAATGTTGCAGACGGGGACTTTCCCGTCACTGGGATTCCTAAGTAAAATATACGTGGACGTTGACCCTAGCTGCCCTGACTGCAATGAAACCTTCTTCCCTATGGCTCAGATGCTCTGGCGATGTCCTGCGCTGCCTAAGCGAAGCCGAATGGGAGGAGGCCATCAGAAGTACAGAACTCAGCAGGCATACCCAGGCAGTCCAGAGGGCCCAGGAACGGGCGGAGTGTCAAGGCGTTCTGTCCTCTACGTGGGCGCGGCCAGCGGTTAAAACGGCCCCTCGTTAGAGGGTCCTGCAGTAACTCCTCCGGTTCTATTAAAGTTCGCTGTCTGTCTGTCTGTCTGTCTGTCTGTCTGTCTGTCTGCCTGCCTGTCTGTCTGTCTGTCTGTCTGTCTGTCTGTCTGTCTGTCTGTCTGTCTGTCTGTCTGTCTGTCTGATTTGTTCTTATTATTTGACAGCGTGCTCTCTGACGAAACTTTAAGAAAGGAAAAGAAAATGATTCATAATTATGTTTGCAGCAACAAATTATATCTCACAATGTTTAGAAAAAGTGTTCGGAAGGTAATATCTGAGGCGTTTACTGTCCCTTTGAAACGTTTACTACACCTCACTGACGTTTTCCACTTTTCAGGTGGTAAATACTGTCGTTACTAGTTAGCGTGTCAGGATTGGCAGTGGTCATTACATACGTACGTGACAAGTTAGTAAAACGTTACTATCACTGGTCGTTTATGCTGTACTCGTGACAATGTTATAGAAAATTTAGCCAAGCTATAATTTTCCCAACTATGTTGCAATAATGGTTTCATGCTACATTATAGCACATGTATAATCCAAGTACTGAGATATAGAAATCCTGGTCTGACGAATCAGATGCAAGTCACAGTTCATGGTTAGCATACCTGTACAGCAAGTACCCCCCCCCCCCCCCCCATAGTATATACGGCTATATAGGCCTCATATAGCCGTATATACTTGTTTTTAAAGTATATATGTATTATGTGTAAGCCTTCTTAGTCTATGTGTGTTTATATGTACGTATGTGCGTAGGAGCTTCCGAGGATGTGATTGTGGTGTGTATTTATCGTAGTAATACCGTACGGCCTCATTTTTATTTCAGTTTGTCAGGCTAATAAAGTTACTTCGTATTACTACTTCCTTGTAGGTAGTAACTATAAGTAGCAAATGTCCTAATAGAAAAGTTACGAACTTTGCAGATACCAACATTCGTTACGGCAGAAATATGGTAACAAGCACTTACTACCTCATAGTTAAAAAGTACCACTTTTTTGTTTTAAGAATGCAGCACTTTCCCAAATCCTCAGGATGTTTCTTGCCCTTCATGAAAGCCCTTCTCAAGAAGCTAGTGAAGCAACATCGAGGAGTTCGACGAAGGCATTGATTACAATTCTTGCATATAGTTCGCATGTGAGAGATATGGCTCACGTTCACGTAATACGACAGCGCGTAAAATACCTGCTAAACTTCCAGTTTTTATCAATGCGTGAGAGTGCGAACTTCAGGCGCCACCTGCACAGATTGACCTAACCAACGCCTTGATGTAATTTTCATGTCGTTACCAAAATGTCAGTGGCTTGTGCCAGCTGCCCCTCTTTAAATCCTCTAAAAAACTAGCTAAATATCAACACTTTTTTAAAAGTCGGTGTCTTTTTTGACAGATGCATTTCCTTAGTAGGAAATGAAACACAGGGTTTCATCGACCTTGTGGAAGTATACACGGCAGAGAAGAACATGACCGGAGAACTTAAGCCAACTTACCCATGACAAGTGCGAACAGGGCGACAGAAATCATTCTTTGAAGGACCTATAAAAGTGTAATGCAATAATTAAATAAAAGATGTGAGTAGTCATCGTCGCCTAAAGTATGACAACCAAAATATCCTCAGACGCCTCTTCAGAGCGACTTTGAGCTTTCGCAATAATTTGTAGCTTGCGAGGGACGGCGCGTACGAAATGATTATGTACAACGATTTCTATTCCAAGAGTACAGCTAAATTTTCTATTACAGTGCATGTCAATAATATATATGCTTCGGAATAAAGAACGCGCGCAGCGAAACTTGTATATTTACAGGTAAATAAACGACCAAGAACTTTAATATCATTTCATTTATGTCTCGCGTACAAGAAAAAAAACACAAAGGTTATGACACATAGTCGTTGCAATTAGCACGTAATAAGAAGCACGTGCCCTTCTAGTATAGGATAATATTGATGCATTCCAGCCGTTCTGGGTGCGTGCTTGGCGCTTCGACGTAAATGAACAGTGTGAAGTGAACAATAGATGAACTGATAAGCTCCAGTGCTTCGAAAAAAGCGCGTATACGGGTTGCCGCAGGATGCAAGTTCGCAGTTACTGTCTTTTACATATTTGTGTGTATCAAATTTCCGAAGAAGTAAGGTGCGCTCCATTGTCAAAGGCGACATTTCTTCGCTCATTGTTCGTTTATTTGTTCGGAATATGGAAGATTAGCAGCGCGGCACTTACCCGAATCAGCAAAGCACATTAATGTGTAGCCAAACAGTTGCGTTGTAGGGCAGTTTATTCGTCCTTCTAAATACTTACTTTAAACTTGTGTGTTTAAAATCCTCGCAAACTACCTAATTTAGCCACTCCGCTGAATTTCAGTTTTTTTTTTACTTTAGAAAATTTCTTCATGCGTGTTTCTCTTTCTCTTAATCTCTCAGATGAGAGTATAGCCCTAGAAATTCATCTTCAGTGCGACTTTGAAGAACATAATAAAATCTTTTAAATGAATACTTTCTTGTTGTGTAGGCTTACTTATATGGCTGCGTACAAGTTCCCCTTTTGCTCTTGTGCATTAATACGTCACTTTGAAAAACTTTTCCTGTAAGTTAAATATTAAGTTGTTTTCCATCACGCGCCTCTAAACATCGGTTTTATAACACTCGTACAAAAGATGGGAAACGCGATATTGCAGGCTATCGTAGCACATAGCTGTACATGAGTAGCCCAGTGCTTACCTTGCAATTGAGCCAGCTTCCTGTGTGGAACATGGTGGCTGCCTTATATGAGCAAGGATATCCGATTGCATTTGCGTGGCGGGAGTATGGTTTCGCCAACAGCAGGCTTTCGCCCCACAGGCGTGGCGGAACTATAGATTTCAGCTGTGTTCTTATCAGCTGTGTTGAAGGTAGATAGATGCAATACCACTCACTTGTTTGTCAAGCAGCACAACGAACATTGGATGACAATGAGACTTCCTTCTACCATACAATGGCTCCAATGGCTGGCTTGAACCTACATGCTCGAAATTCACGATATTGTTCAATCGGCAGAATAGATCACAATAACTGAAGATATAACCGAAAAGACGGGGGGGGGGGGGGTGATAAATGCACAGCACCACATTTCCTATGTGCCACAAAAAATGCAAGGTTCGGGAATGCACCTTGCATTGTATACATTACCGAATCGAGCACTTTTTGTAGAATATAGATGTGGTACTCTGCATTCATCATCTGTCCTCCCCTTCCGGTTACATCTTCAGTTATCGTGATTTGTCTTGCCGATAGATCAATATCATCAATTTCGGGTGTGTAGCTTTACGTCAGCCATTGAATAGCCACAAAAATAAGGAATACCAGAAAGAATCACGTCTGATTTCTTTGCAGTCCTTAAGAAGTACATTCAAACTTCCCTGCTACTTGTACCAGAGATATAATTTTTTAGTTGTTGAATTGACAATCATTACGCTTATCTTCCATTTGTAATAATATTAAACTAATGAACCACAAGTTGCTCACACTCTAAGGCAAACAAGTCATGTAACTTGTGCGGTTTGTTAAATTATCACGATTAACTAATGATGCAAAATTAAGAGTTGGACATAGAAAATGCATGAAGCTACGTGCGCCTCACTTGCCCTCAATTTTCTTTGTCACCGTCCCAGTGTTCCACTATTTTGAGCCACCATTGCGAGGCAGTTGCTTTCCGACTAATAAAAGGAAAATTCTTGTGACTTTCGCCTCTTAAGTAAAGGTTCATGTGATGCATAATGCAAGATTTGCAACTATTGATAGTTTTTGAGCTTATAGTTCCTTTCCATGACGAGGTAGAAATCATTTTTCTTAGCGGCCAGTTAAAAAAATGATGAACCTCTGTAGACAGCTTTTTACGTGGGCTCCGAGTTCTTTCATTCAAATGCCCAATAATAAAAATAAGGAATTAATGGGAAGCTGATCACATACACAGGCGTATGCATTAGTTGTATATTTGAAAGAGCGTA